AAAATTCACTGGGAGCGTCGCTAATTTAGAAACATCAGACTTGCTTTGCGTTGTTTTTATTTCTTCCGTAATTGCTTGTAAGTTTTAGCCTTGTACAACCATCTCCATGTCCTCATCTTTTCTAATGCTAGAGTGTCTCTCCATGAACCTCTTTTCAATTGTCTGACAATTCGCAACTATTTTTTGTAAGTGTAACAATCCTTGCGCCCGAATTCAAACTTACTGATTACCTCAACTATTTTTATAGTTATTGTTCCGACGAAAGTAACGGAAAATTTGTGCTCGGGGTGGGTTTTTTTTTCTTCAGACAAATTTCGACTTTTTAACTAGCCATTTTTGACGAAAAATTTTTATAACATTTGAAAGCTATTGTTGGCCTGAGCTCAAATTTGAAAAGATATTTCACCTGTGATCATTTTTTGTAAAGTTACGGGGGTTTAAAGATTGCCATTTTGGCCAATTTGGGACAATTAACGCACGATATATTTTGCGCTATTACCGCGTAAGCGGAGAGTTAATCCGTCTTAGAAATCGTTCCAAATTGGTTAAAAGAAGCTTATTTGCCATAATTGATTTATTACAAGGTGCGAAATTTACCCTTTTGTGCTTTATATGGCGTGTGGGGTGATGATTTTCAAAAAAAATTCAAACTTAAGAAAAAAAAATTTTCATTTTTTTCTTTCATTTATTTTTTTAATGTTATTACTGCTCCATAAACCTTAGAGGGCAGTCGGAACATTCAGGGCTTCGCCTTGATACGAGCAGTCTTGTTCACTTGAGCATCAATTGATGTGTTATGGGTTTAGTATTGAGGGATAAATGTTCTGCTAAGCTAACTTTGTCTCCTGGCTTATAGTTATCTTGAAAAACCAAAGGAATTAATCGATCTACTCATGTTGTTAACCGACTGAACATAGATTTTTTTCTTATTTTGTTTACTAATGACAGCAGTGCTTCGTTGTCCGCTGTGAACGACTCCCATACGACTGCTTGTCCATCATGCAACGACCCCGTATGACTACTTGTATTTCTAGTTCTTTCCTTTTTTATATATAAATCTCTCAGCAAAGCATTGATTTGCTGTTTTAAACGTATCCGCGAAACAGAAACTTTTCTAGTTAATAATGTGTTTCGCCATCAACCACCAATTGGAATCGATTGAGCCACAATTTTGCGGTTCAGCAAGTTTTAATTGCTATAGAGAGGTTAACCAACTAGATTTTCACCCCATTTTGGCTCGTTGGCTGCGTTATGTTAAAATAGTTAATTGATACTCTAAATTTCAAATATGATCGATGACTAGGTTTCATAAATTAATTAAGAGATAAAAGTTTTGTGGTCGGTCGACTCCGAAAGACAGTACCTGTTAGTATTAAGACTAGGCAAAAGGATTTAGAGTATGATCGACAGTGTAAGTGACCTAGAAGTGAAACGGACTCGTGAACTGATTTAGTCACGAATGAAACACTAGTGGCAAAATTTTTCTCAACCGAAAACCACACCTTTCTTCGTTTCCAAAGCAATAGTAATCAAAGCAGGAGCACTTTTGTGAATTTCCATACGACAACTCTCTACAAAGAATTTTAGTGCTCACTTGTTTGTCGATGAAAAAACCTTACTCTGCTTTAATTTTTTCCCTTTTTAGATGTTTTCTATTCAGCAGGTTTTTGAAGGACAGTTTTAAAACTCACCAAACTCTTAGTCGCGTTAAGATTTTTGCATTAAGACCAGACAAAAAAAAAGATGATACAAGCAAAAATATTAGAAGAAAAAACCTTTTTTCAGCAATATGTTTTGAAAAACCTGAGAGAAACAAAGTTTTTACTTTAGCATAGCTTGAGGCATGGTAACTGAAACTTACATTAAACGTGTCTGAATTGGTATTTCTCAAACCAATATTTGGAGAAAATTGCCTGTCTCACATCAAATTGGAACCATTTGAATTGACGCTAAGTGTAAATAACACAAAAACTATCGCGCGTTAAATAGGTCGATTTGTCAATTTTCAAAAACCCATAAATTTACATACAAGACTGCTCGTATCAGGGCGAAGCCCTGAATGTTTCGACTGCCTTTTAAGGTTTATGGAGCAGTAATAACATTAAAACAATAAATGAAATAAAACAAAATCAAAAATTTTTTGTCTAAAATTTGAATTTTTTTAATGAAAATCATCACCCCACACGCCATATTAAGTACAAAAGGATAGATTTCGCTTCTTTTAACAGACCAATTATGGCAAATAAACTTCTTTCAACCAATTTGGAACGATTTTAAGACGGATTAACTCTCCGCTTACACGTTAAAAGCGAAATATATCGCGAGTTAATTGTCCCAAATTGGCCGAAATCGCAATACCTAAACCCCCATAACTTTACGAAGGTGAAATATTTTTTCAAATTTGAGCTCAAGACAATAAAATCTTTTGAATGATAAAAAAAATTCCGTCAAAAGCGGCTAGTTAAAAAGTCGAAATTTGTCTGAAGAAAAAACCCACCCCGAGCACAAATATTCCGTTACTTTCGTATAAAAGTCGGAACAAAAACATTCAAGTTAAAATAATTTTTTAAAGTTGAGCGCAAATTTCAATACTTATTAAGCTATATCTATGCCCCGCCCTCAAAAGAGCAAGTTAATAACTCTAAGTTGATCGAGAGAAAAAAACACGGGGAGTAAAATTAATTAGCCACTTTCTTCCAAAGTCGGAACAATGAAATTTTAAAAATGAATTTTTAAACAAAATTAGAGTTTTGAAAAATATAAAAACAATGACGTTAAAAACCAAAAAAAAATCAATGCAGCACGCCTGGAAGAAAAAAAGAAAGTCGCAAACTTTTTGCGTGCTTGCGGACTCCTTTGTTCTTCATTCTGATCACTAAAAGACAAGAAATCTAGAAAACGAAACAAAGCACTTCTGAATGCAAACTTGTTTTTTTTCCATTCAGTTTATATGTTCAATTGAGTTCCACGCATTTTGTTCCTGGTTCAGTTTGGTTGTCGTACTGGATAAATTTCAATCGATTATATTTCAAATGAGGAGCGGCGGTGAAGTGGTTAAGTCTTCGCCTCTCAATCCAATAGTCGGATTTTTGAGACCCACCATGATCCTTGTTTGTTGCTTGAGGGTTAAGCAACGTTACCTAGCCCAGAAAAATAACGAAAAAAATTGCATGTATATTATAACCAGGAGCACAACAGCATTTACGATAACCAGGAGCACAACAGCAATGAAGAGCTCGTATGTTCATCCTTTAACTTGTGGATAAATCTCTTAACTATTTAGCTAATTAGTAGGTTGAACTTTACTTTTAATATCGAAAAGTTAAAATAAACCTTCAAAAATCTAAGTAAAATCACATGGATAATTTAAATTTAAGTCAATTTTAATCTTTTTTGAAAGTTAAAATTTTCGTTTTTTTTTCTAGTTCAAAAGCAGGTTGAAATCAATAGTCCTCGAGCTTTTTAGTCTCTAATTTTTTCTTAACAAATTTGTTTTTTTTTGTCTTCAGAAAAACTTTAATTTCTGCTAAAGGCAGAAAAGCTAATTAAAAGAGCCGATAGTGAAAAAATGGTGTGAAATTAAACATATTGCATCTAAAAAATAGTCAGAGATGAATTTTTATGTGAAATAATTTTAATTATCCGCATCATTTGATGCTGATTTTATAGCACGTAGTTGCGAGCAATACTATTTTGATCACGAATTATTGCAAATTTTAGCAGACAGATAAATGCTTTTTTTACAACTTAACAATTTTGGAATACATATAAAGCTTTAAAAAGTAATTGTACTAGAAAAAATTTTGCCCTGAGATGTATCAATAAAGTTGTGAAATTCTCTTCAGAATAATAACGAAAATTGCAGTGGTTCAACCTAAAGAAGTGCAAAAGCGGCAGATCTTTCAAGACTTAATTTTTTCAATAAGTTGCAGAAATCGAAGCTACTGACTTTTTTTGGTTTCAAAGTTTTGAACTAATTTCTGTGTATATAAAAAAATTGCCAGTTTTGGAAAAATTAGTTTGCACTATTAAAGCTTACCTTTCCAAAGGATCCCTTTCCGAGTACTTTGAGGTAGTGGAAGTCGTCCTTGGATGTTTCCTGGAGACTATCGACGTCTAAAGACACCTGTCTATCCAAAGACTCCAGCTGCAACGAAATTCGGTTAAAACTATGCGTTTCGTCTCATAAAGAAGGGAGGCGACCATTTTAGGTATCTGTAGATATTCATATTAAGCAAAACAGTGCTGATTTGAATTATCCGAACAAAAAGAATACAACTTGAAAGTTAAAAAGCGTTTTGCTCAAATCGGGTTGATTTTAGACGCAAAATGATGAAAGCAAAACTTGCTTACAATTTTAGCAAAATAATTTTTTCCCAAAACGGATCATTATTGTTTTTCTATGATGAGAAATTCGTCGTTTTTCGTCTCAAATCAAGCCAAGTTTTATTCACTGTGTCCGGTGAATTTAAATCAGCACTGTAAAGCTTGCAACCATATGATGAAAACTAAAATTAATTCGTTTTCTCTAACCCAACTAACAACCGACCCAATTTCGATTACTCTTAAGCAATATTCGGGAACTACAAGAAGACAATAGTCTGGGTATTTCTGAGTGCTCCCGGAGCAAAATTCCGGACCAAAAAAAGCAGAAGGACTCAAGCGATATTGTCAAAAACAATCGAAAAAATTAAATGATGTTCTTCTCCCTCCTGTATAAAGTTTTTTAGTTGTTCTTAAAAGATTTCAACAATAACTGAATAGCTTTAGGCTTTTCTGCAAGTCAAGGGACATCTTCAGCTTTCAAATTGTAGATTTTGATACTATTGCCAACAAAATGGTTTTGAAATGTTGTCTAGACCACAGCTCCAAGCAGAAAACTGCGAAAACTCTAATCAAATTGTTAAATTTAAAGTAAGCATGCCTTTTTGAGCATCTTCTGCTCCTCAACTTTGATTTCGTCCACCACTGGCACATTGTAGAACTCAGCCTCTGACTCTGAGAGCAGCTTGAACCAGCGATCGATCCCTGCAGCCTCCGTTACCTCCCGGAACAATTCTAAATATTATATAAACTCTTTCATTACTAAACAACAGATGCAATTTGTTTGGGGTAGCTCAATCTTTCATAACTAAAAGTTCAGGGCGTACGCAACAACAATTCCATGGGTGGGGTTTAAAAAAAGGTTTGTAGTTTTTTTTTGAATTTTTCAAAACGGCCGAATTGATCATCCGAGCTACCATAAAACCCTAGCGAAACCTCCTAGCAAATGTCTGCAAAAAACAGGCCAAAATGCCATTTAAAAAAATTTTGAATAATTTGACCAAAAAATTGGGTTTTTCAGGGCCCCTGAAATTTAGTACATTTTAGTGCAAAAGTCGCTTTTAGAAATTTTTTAGTGTTGATCAACCAAAAATGGATATCGCAAAAATAGTACCAAAGGAAGATCTTTTAGAAAACTTGCAAACCACCTCGGAACGTAACTGTTCAGGAGATAAATTTTGATACTCTTGAAAAAATTCAAGTTTGTTTGAAATACACTTTAACAAAAAGTAGCAGTTGGCTTTCATTGAGAAGAGCATAGCTTATTTTAGATCAATTTCGTGCTATTCTGTGTGGTAGCAGCCTATTTTTGTTTGCCTTTTAGTAGAGTAGTTTAGTTGTATGTGTGACAGCAGCATTTTTTTATGTGTTTAACAAAAAGGATTTGTAGTATAAAAGATTATATAATTTGCAGTGGTTTATAAAAGGTTTTGCAATATAGAGTTGTAAAAGTGTAGTGTAGTGAAGTGCTGTGTACTGCAGTTTAACCTAGAGTAGTGTAGTGTAGTGTAGTGTAGTGTAGTATAGTGTAGTGTAGTGTAGTGTAGTGTAGTGTAGTGTAGTGTAGTGTAGTGTAGTGTAGTGTAGTGTAGTGTAGTGTAGTGTAATGTAAATGTTGTGTAGTGCTGTGTAGTAAAGTGTAGGGTAGTTTTGTAGTATAGTGCTATTAGAGTAGCGCTATTTGGTCTAGTTCAATGTACTGGCTTGTTACATTTTGCAGCATATAGTAGCGAATGTGTAGCATACTGAAGTGTAGTGTACTGTATGGTAACGTAGTGTAATAGAATAAAATGTGGTGTATTGTTTTGTGGTGTAATGGATTGTAGTATAGTGAAGTGTGGAGCAGTGTGGTGTAGTGGAACGACATGTGAGAATGTTGCAGCATAGCACTAAGAGAGTAGTTATGTGTAGTCTAGTCCAGTGCAGTGGCATGTTTTGTTTTGCAGTATAGAGTAGTAAAAGTCTAGCGTAGTGAAATGTGGTGTACATCAGTGTAACATAGTCTAGTGTAGTACAGTGTAGTATAATGTTTTGTGGCCGAGTGTAGTGTAGTGTAGTGTAGTGTAGTGTAGTGTAGTGCAGTGTAGTGTAGTGTAGTGTAGTGTATTGTAATGTAGTGTAGTGTAGTTCAGTGTAGTGTAATGTAGTGTAATGTAGTGTAATGTAGTGTAATGTAGTGTAAGGTAGTGTAGTGTAGTGTAGTGCTGTGTAGTATTTTATACAGTAGTGTATTAGAGAAGAATACTGAAGTTGAAGTTCTGTCAATCTAGTCCAGTGTACTGTTACAAAAAGTTTTGCAGAATAGAGTAGAAAAAGTGTAACATTGTGAAGAGTAGTGTCCTAAAATGTACCATATTGTAGTGCAAGTTAATGTAGTTTAGTGTAGTGTAGTGAGTTAACTGTACTGTATAGTGGTGTAATGCAGTCTTGTCTTGTGAAGTGTTTTGTAAAGTTGTGTTGTGTTATATACCGGATATTCCAAACGAGAGTGCACCCATGAAGTCGTTCCGAGTGGCTCTGTCCCAGTCCCACACCTCGATGAGTAACCTTCTGTGTCTGTCTGAGTCACGCAGGGGGCTTTGAAAAAAGCAAACTTTTAACAAGCAACCTAACGAAAATTCAAAAGTTATAAGCATTTTAATAAACAGGAAATAATAAACCAAACTATCTTTAAAAAGGGGTGTTTGGATTTTTAGAAAACTTGCCCAAATTGATTTTTTCAAGCTCTCTTAAATCAATGAAGAAACCCTATGTTGACCAAGTTGTCTGCAGCATCGGAATCTTCAAAGAAAAAATATAACAAAAAGGCGTTCTTAGGCACTTTTGGAAAAGTTTAGAAAAAAAATTAGTTTATATTAGAGCCAAAAGTTTCTTCAGAAAAATTTTAGCGATGATAACCCAAAAATGGGTTTTTGAAATACTACGAAAGGGGGATCTATTGGGCCGTCAGAGGGGGGGGGGGGTATGTTGGGGTCGTGGTAGAAGGAGTCCGCCTCTTCTACATCCGCTACTGGGCTCAGATAATATATCAGCGTTTGCTTTTGTTTTAGTAGGCTATAATTGTTTCATCTTATCACCCTTTCTTCCGATCAATCTTAAAAATTATTTTCGTTCTTCTTCCAACATGAAACGGAACGAAAAATCTTCATTTGAAATTTCGACATTCAAGACTCATTCCAAATATACTTTATTTTTACCAATCCAAACCATGTGGTACAAATTGGAATTCGCTGTTCCTGGTTTACTAGCCGTAAATTTTTAATAACCAATAGATGGAAATAATTAGGGATGATCGTTGCATCTTTCCGATACTTAGCATAATTATTCCATCAATTTCCCTCTCTGTATAATAATGAGATCGCCGGGTAGCATTTTCAAAACAAGAGCTGTAAAAAGGAAAAAATTGTTTTTTTTTTCCCTTAGGATTTTTGTATCATCCCGCTTAAAAACAGCCCCACTACAGAAAAATTAATCATTTTTCTCTGTAGTCACCGGAAAGGTTTCATCAAAAAAACTCGGCAGCAGAAACAAGTCATTTGAAGGCTTAATATCAACTTTTCGGCTGATATGTATAAAACAATCTCGTAGGTAATTTTTTTTACGCCCAAGGGAGTTATAAAGTTAATGCTCCCACTTTTGGTTCGGAGACCTTTCGCGACAATTCTCGACCTTTTTAATTGAAACTATACGCATTCGCCCTGCGAGAATATATCCAACTGATAAAAATTTTATCAATAATTTTCAATGATCTGTTCTTAAAAACGCAAAGGGTTCGGTAATTGTTCCCATCATCTGGAGGAACTTTGAATTTGGGTGTGTTTCTTTTTGGTTTACTTTTTCTATTTGTTTACCACGCAAAATTAGGTTACACAATCAATCAATGCAGTGGTTTGAGTTGTATATCATATTAAAGCCCTTTCAGTCAGTCGTGATTAGAACGACATTAAACATTTTTGAGTCGAGAACAACCGGTTCAAAATTTTTGACTTTTAGTCTAATTTCGAACAAATAAGGTGAGCGTGCAGGCTTACATTGACTATTTTAAGCTTGAATTCAGCCGTGAAAACTTAGTTTTACTCGAGTAAAATTAGTTTTTGGAGTTTTTGAGGGCCATTTTGGGAATCAAAAACTTCAAAAATACTTTTTTTCTTTTTGTAGCCATTCTCCTAGCTAAAAAATTGGTTTTTCAAATGGCCTTTTTGACTATGACCGTCACATTTGCCTCATTCAGATTTTTTTTATTACACCACACAGAAAAAACGACACTAGTTTAAAAAAACAGTTGTATTCTGAAGACTCTGGTCGGAGCATTCTGTGCTACTTGCACAGTCAGTAACCGGCTATCCTTGTTTTGTTTTGCGGGCCCCGTCAGCAAAAACTTCAAAAAACAAAATAATTTGTTTTTATTCGCAGGACTATTTTATACGAAGTATTTTGAAACGAAATATAAAATTTCCCAGTTGAGACGTCAGAATTGGGACCAGAAAGACTAACGCCCGCACCGGAGCTCCATGGATATTAATCGATTATATTGGAAAACTGGTGTCTAAAATGTTGTCATTATAATCCATTGTTGTTGCAAATTTAGACCACGAAATCAATTATATTGTCATTATAATCAATTATTTTCGTTTAAACACAATCCATTGAAATCCACTGGATCCAAACGGATTATAATCTTCAGATTTTTTTGCAAAATCAATTGCAATCTAAACCTAGTCGAATTATCCCTACCACCCCTTACGTTTACCCCCAATCCCCCACATTTACCCCCCCCCCCAACCTTCCCAATTTGGTTGCTATTTTGAACATGGACGGGGGAGGGAGGTTACTCAGTTGTTGCACCCTCCCCCCATTTTTACCCCGCCCACTTTCAGTAAACATAAACAGGGAGGAAAACGGAGGGGGTAACACAGGGAGGAAAACCGAGGGTAAACAGGGAAGGGGTAAACGGGGTGTAAACGACAGAAAAAATATAAAAGTTGAAACGTGAAATATAACTTTTTATGAAACCTAATAGGTAGCAACTGCGCTAAGCAGGAAATGCGATAACATGACTAACCTTTCAAAAAATCCATTATAATCGATTATAACCGATTATAAGGGATTATATTGGCATGAAAATATAAAAAATATAATTAATCCATTTTTAATGAATTATAATTGATTATAATGGATTATAATGACATAAGATTACTAGGATTATAACCCATTTTTGATGGATTAAAATCGATTATTTTTGTAAATTTATAGATTCTGACTATAATCGACAATATAATTGATTATTATTCATGGAACTCCAGTGCGGGCGACGATCGGAGATAGGCCGAAAAACCGAAAGCCAACAAGCCGAAAAAAAAATTCCATTCCAACAATCCCAAAATTAATATTATTATGCAACAAAACGACAGATGGTCGCTGTTGTTATGCAATTATTAGCTAATTCTGATGCATTTTACGTTATATTCAGGGTCGGATTTAGAAGGGGCGGACGTCCCCCCTCCCCTCCCGAACCAAAAGGTCCCCCCTTTGGTGCTTTTTAATAAATCCATTTTTGGCCGACCGACTTTAAAATTTTTCTAAACGCGCCTTTGGCGCCAATATATACTAACTTTGAGTGGGAGTAACAAACTTTTATGACAGCCACATGAGTATCACCCATGCATGGAAACATTTAATTATTTGTATATTAATTCAAAAAACGGCCTTTATGAATTTTGCCCCGAACACCAATGAAAAAACCAAGCGAACGTTCTCCTCTCTTATTCGATTCATCGACAGGTTTTCACTGGGTCCGAAATAACTTCACTTACATTTCGACCTGTTCGTCCCATTCTGGATTCAAGTTGGCCTTGATGATCTTGCTCTTGAACTTGAAGCTGCTTCCGTGACTACTGAGTGCGGGGTCTTCGGGGAACAAACGCATCTTGAAATAAGGGTCAGCTAATCCGTTGACATCCATCGGAATCAAATTGCGCGCCTGTTTCACTGAAAAATGACATCTAAAACTAAAGTTTTACATTTTTTGAAAAATTGCTTTTTTTTCAAATTTTGAGACCAACCCTGAGACGTAACACTTAAGATTTGAAATACCTTAAATTAAACGGAAAGTTTTCCTTAAAAAGTATGGCAAGTTTCCGGTCTTTTCTTAGGGATATGTTGCATTTGATTCATTCGGCTCGGATGCTGCATTTTAATACATTCGGTTCTGGTGAACGATTCTCTAAATTGTAGCGACTTAGAGCACGAGAGCACTAAATATTTTAACTAATTCAAGCGTGAGCAATTAGGAGCTAGTTCCAAAAAAGCAAATGTGGAACAATTAAACTAGCAAACAGTTAGTTAGGAGCTAGCTAAGTTGAAAAACAATTTAAGAAAAAGGACTTGACTGTTATCCTGATTAATCCAGTTGAAAATCTTGAAACTTTCCTTAAACGAAAACGTGGACGTATGTATACCTTCGAGTTTTTTAATTTGGTTCTTATCTTTCAAAATGTTTTCAGGAACAAAGATGCTTTTCTGAATTTTTTTAAGCGTTTGGTATCAGTGAAATTTGATTGAACAAGAATTTACAAGAGAAAAAATGTGCAATTTTTGGTAAAATGATAAACTCAACGTACACAAAGTTTTCTGGCAGGTCTCAACGTTAAAGTTATATTGGAGGTAAATAGATCATCGTTTAAGATAAACTGATGAATGAGTCATACTGATGAATGAGTGTTTAAGATAAGTCAGTAGCGTGCAATTTTTTGGTCAAATATTTTTTTAAAAGAGCTCAAAACACCATTTTTGGCCTGTTTTGTTTTGTTAAACGTCTGCGGTGCAAAAAATTTGACAAAATAGGGTCCTTATAGTATTTTTTGAGAGCTCGTTAAATTAAATTGGTCGACCTTCAAAAAAAAGAACGACAAAATTTTCAAAACCACCCCCATCTCCAAGGAAAAACTTTTGCACACGCCACTGGCTGAAATGACAAACATCAGCGTTTAGATAAACTGGTAGGATAGAGGTCAGCGTTTAAGATAAGTTGCAGCCATGAAAGTTAGCGTAAGAAACACGTGAAAGGATAAAACACCAGTAAACTAATCTTCAACTAAAAAAAATACTTGAAAATGTACTGTTTTTCATAAATTGAGACCAACTCTGAGGCGGATCATTTAACCTTGAAAAACCTTAAATTTAACGAAAGTTTTTCTTAAAATGCATTATTATTATTATTATGATTATTTTTATTATTAAGGCTTTACAATTCAATTAATGGTAAAAGAGTTGATGTTAATGATCCCGATTGATAGCACCGATGAATGGATTGGCAAGACAGTTATTGTAGTTGCAGACTATACGCCAGGTGCAGCTTCTGTTGGTGTCGTAAACTTTGAGATAGAAACCCCAAAACAGGTGAAGCAAACGTGGCTTGAGTCCTTGAGGGCGGAAGAAATTCACAGAAGGTGGTAACGGGTTCAGGAGTTTTTGGACACGGTACAAGAAGTTGCTTCTCGACTTAGAAAGTTTAATTTTCTTCACTCCGAACGTCCTTGTTCCGCTTCTGGTGTTTCTTTCGGGTGCTTACGTTTTTGCCGAATGCCAGTCAAAGTTATACTGATCATTGAGAATACTCGAGAAAGTCAGCAGATCTATGAGTTCGAGATAAAATGAGATTGGAAGAATATTAAGCTTGAGCAGTTGATCATTGTATATCATCGTTGTAACCAAGAATCCACTTTGTGATTCTTTTCTGGACATTTTCCAATGTTTCAGATCAGTTTGAGCAGGGAACCAGCAGGGTGAAGCATAGACCAGTATTGGGACAATTAGGCTTCTATACAGTGACAGTTTCACACTTGTATCGGTTGAAGAGGCTATGCTCCGCCTGATCATCTGAAAAATACCGTTTGCTTTCGCTATTCTTGTTTCCATGTGGGCACTCCATGATAAATTACTAGAGACTAGGACACCCAAGTATCTCATGCCGTTAACGGCTTTAAGTTCTGAATCACCGATACATAACACGTGAGATTCGCCGCGGAAAAGAAGGCTGTAGCTTTTGTCCTCAGCAAAAGACATGCCATTTTCCACGATCCATGCATACACATTATTCACATCTTCTTGAAGGTAATTATTTTCATTCATACTATTGCGTCGATCATTGAAGAGCATCTTGAGATCGTCAGCGAACAGAGATATTGTTGAGTTGAAGACTCTATCAGGAAGATCGTTGATAAATATTACAAAAAGAATTGGACGCAGTAATGAACCTTGGCGGATACCACTCAAAACAGCTAACAAGAAGGATTCGTGCCCGTTGAAGCGGACAAATTGCTTACGGTTGTGAAGATAGCTGGCTATAACATCAAGCAATTTGCCTTTTATTCCCAAATTCCCCAGTTTCTTCAATAAGGTGGAATGGGGTACAGTGTCAAAGGTTTTTGCGAAATCCATATATACAGCGAAAATCTGAGTATTCGAGTTGTCATATGCATCATAGACTTTATCAAGGTATGTGAGTAAGTTTGTTGTCAACGATTTCCGTGGAAGGAACCCATGCTGGTACTGCGATACATTGTTCACCAGCTGATTTTTCAATGACGCAAAGACACATTTCTCGAACACTTGTCTAATAATATTCAAGAGCGTTACAGGTCGATAGTTATTACAGGAACTCGGAGAACCTTTTTTCAACTGGGGACTTACACATCCTATCTTCCATCTAGCGGGAAACTGCCGTAGGCGTTTGATATTTGAAAAGATAACACTTATTGACTTCGATAGGGATGTAGAAAGATTTTTGTAGAAGATTGGAGGAATTTCAACCGGGCCTCTGCTTTTCCTGACGTCTAAATTAATGAGAATGTTTCTTATTGAATCTTCAGAAACATCGTAATCATTGACCATGCTGGCAGGCTGCTCCGAATCGGGAGGGCAGCATCGTAGACATTCTGTGAACTAGTGAACACTGAGTGGAAGTAGCTGTTCATCACATTCTATTGAATTTTTTGAAAACGAGCCTTCAGCACCGAGGTTTTAGATCTTGACATAAAAAATAAAAGGTGTCAAAAAGCGTCATATTTGAGGGCGCAAATAGGACTCAATTTTAGACTCGAGGCAGATACTTGCTAATAGGTACTGTGAACCGGCTTAGGACACAAGACACCATACCCAATTAGGTCTGACATGATGGGTCGAATGAAACAATGATTTTCTAATTTTTGTCAAGCTCAAGAATTTTATTGAAGTTGCACTAGAAGACATCAGCAACTATCCATGCTGAAACTTTGAATCCGACTTTAAAAGTTTGAAGCTATGCTTATCTGGCTACTAATATGCAATCAGCTTATCCGGTCTCTCTGTTTCTGATACGATTCACGAGCTTGGAGCAATCAAAATGACCAGAATTGCCCTTCACGTTCCTTCTCTAGAACTGCATCAATTGATCGATCAAAACAAGAGCTTGCCCCAACACTTCCAACAATGTGGCGATTTTACGTGGGCATTGGTTAAAAGAAAAAAAGGATCTAGTTGCTGCAGTAAAGCATGGTAATGTTCAGATTGATTCCCGAAATGATAGACCTGCCATAGCATCATTGGCATACGAACAACATCAGATGTTTTACTCTTACCCCATTGACTTTTTTTCACAGAGCTCCAGGAACGCTTCTACTAGCAAACCGCTGTTCAACTGAATAAATGTTAAGGCTGCAAAGAAGGAAAAACTTGTGGCGCAAATTTGGGAAAAAATTGTGGCGCTTCCGACTGCACAGTGATACTTTAGAACCTATGAAAACTGGTCTGAAAGAGATTCACGAAGCAGGAGTTTTTGTTTTGGTTCAGTGAGATGCCATCTTCTGTGACTGTCTGCGCTGATAAGAGCTCTTTTCCCAACGGGAAACTACTGGAGACCTGTTTATACTCCCTGATGAAAAAGAATACACTCTCATGCTTGGCGCTATTTTACATCCGTAAATATAAGAAAAATAAAATAAAAAATATATTCGGAAGTTTTGCCGCAAAACATTGAAAACTCAAAAATGTTCAAATTTGGTTTTTTGTTATTGTAAATATATTTTTGCTAATTTTTTCTCAATGAAACCCACAGGTTTTAAATAAAATTTAAAATCCCCAAACAGTGAATAATGTATGATTTTCATAACATAATGAAATAAAAAGTACTTAGTTTTTGATTGGATAATCGCTGTCACTCATTTAGAAAAATCTCGCACTTGTGAATTCTGGAATATGTTTTACGCGAGACGAGAGACGCATGCAAAAAATGCAGAAGTGCATGAAAAGGTTCATCTTAATGTCATTTTCACAAGTTTTTGAAAATAGTTTGACTGTTAGTTTGAAAAAATTGTTGCTACAATCCATCAAATTTTTTAACGCTTTTTTATCTTATTATAATTGAATACTTGGAAATTGATATTATAATTGATATACTTCACAAATGCAATATCAGGTGTTTTCTCAAAATGCATGTTTATTTGCCTCTATTAAAAATTCTGCAAGGTTAAGGGAATGCAAAATCCTATAAGAATTGTAAAAAATAAATAACAGATTTTGAACTTGTACAAAATGCACCTCAGACTTATAAGTTACGTAAGTTTTTTGCATAGTTCTGAAGTGTTTCTGAATTGTTCACAGAATTTGATATTTTGTGAAGTTCTTGTCAGGTTGTTATTAGCTTTTGAATTGGTACTTTCATGATGTAAGGTTTTTGTATTCGTTCTTACAAGATTTAAAATTCTTAAAAAAAGTTTTAATTGCAGTATATCCTCTCACCACTCTTGGAAAAATCTTAGATACACTCCTTCTCACCACAATTTTTTTTTTCAATTCTTAACACATGCACACTACTTTCAAAAAGCAGTGGTGTTTTTTCACCTTTTTCCGTCAGGAAGTTGTTAAACTTTTAAAAAATAATTTTCCGTCTTTTTGCAATTGGTAGTGACGCGTTGCCATTACTTGACCATCATGAGCTGGATAGAAAATGAATGCATAGGATTTTGACTGACGCTCCATTTTCAAGCACCACTCCCGCTCAACCAAATTTAAACCCTAATTTAATCAAATTTTAAAAATTACGGCGTCAGATAACTCGGCGTTTTTCCCACCTTCTTTGCGTCGTTACCGTTGAAGAGGAAGTCAAGTGCGATTAAATGCTGTTTTCTGACAGTTCTGTGGGTAAATTAGTTTTCCGATTGGCGCTCTTCAGATCCTTGCGAGAAACAGAATTCGACTCAATTAAAACCTTTTTGGATGGAAGGGCATTAAATTTAGCCAGCCTATGAGATCACTAATAACTTTACGTAAAAAGATACTATTTAATTTTCTTCAAAAATATACCCTAAAAATTAACTCCTCGGAAATCTAAGTTTATCAAAAGGCAAAAATTTCTAGCCGTTGTTTTCTCGACATTGAAAAAAAAACGTTTTGAGGTTTAAGATTAGCTTAAATCACAGGTTTCAAAAGAATACATCGCTCAACCCCGTGTTACGTGTATTTGATGAATTAAATTTATTGTGGGTTCCTTCTCGCGGCATTAAATGACACCAAATTAAAGAAGAGCTCTAGCTGATTGAAAACTCAATCAAAAAACTTGATCCGCTAGAGTTGAATTTTCAAGTATGTTCCTAAAATTGATAGACTTTGCCGAAATTTTCTATGTGATATTCCTTTAATTCTGAGACTGTTCCGAATTGCGAATGACTGTATATTACGCAAACAAGACATATAATTCCCGATGAGTACCCCTCGTTTGTACAACACGTCACCTGGATTTTCTGGAGAAAATCGAAACAATTGAAAAAATAAAGGTGCTAATGCGCAAAAGATAAGCTTTTTCTGTAAACTGAAGATATTCCCTCAAAGCAGGCAAGTATATCTTAGGTGTCGATTGATGTTGCTGTAATTCGACACACAATCTGACTGAGTTATTCAGTCAAACGAAGTGTTTTTCTTGAAACCCCATGATGTTTTTTACACCAGGTGCTCAAAAGTAAATAGAGGTCAATTGAGGGAAAAAATTGCGTTTTTCCCGATGCACTCCTTTTTTTCTCAATTTTAGTGTATATCGATGCCGAGTTCGCTTTTAAAAAAGCTTTATGGTCATCAAATCGCCCCCCCCCCCTTCCTACAACACTCAACAAATTATATCGCCAATCTAATCCGCCCTACCTTTGATAAGGAATCTTCTGGTGGCTTCTGCTGGCCTCCCATTGCAGTTCTCACTTTGGGGGGTGTGGGGGAGGAGTGAGATGGATATTTGGATTCTGCCCCTCCTCTCGAAGATGTCCTGGCCACACAAACTGGGCACGTACTTGGTGCATTTCTTGTGCACATTGATCAGGCACTCTACAAACAACAAGAAAAAATTGGTACAAATGATAACCCAAAGTCAAGCCCAGTGGCGTGCGCAAAAATTTTTCTAGGACGGGGGGTTTGAAAAATTTTCAAAAATTTTGTCAACCTTTTTTTTGGTGGATCAATTTGATTTTCCGAGCTCTCCGAAAATACTTTGAGGACCCTATTTTGTCAAAAAAATTTCTGCGCTGCAGGCAAACTTTTTGAAAAAATTTCAGCTAAACGTCACTTTTTGAGAACTTTTTTTTTCAAAAAAATGTGATAAAAAAGTTGCGTGATTTTGGCACGCGCTACACCTCAAATTTAGTTCTACTGCCGACGAAGGTGCCTTTATAAATTTTTTGAAATGAATGTCGTGAAATTATGCCAAACGCGGGACCCTTTGGAAATAATTTGGCAAACAGAAGTGAGGTGAAGGGGGAAGGCGGTCGCAGCCCCAACCCGCCCCCCTCGGCGTGCTACTGGTCAAAGCCTGAGGCCTGAGAGAACGTCATTCGATTAAATGGTCCGGTTTCAAATGTCTCTGAAAACTTTCTGGGATACTTCAAATTATCTAAAAAAGAAGAAGTTGTTTTCACCAAAAAAGAGCAGGTGAATCTGTGTAAACTATATAAAGAGAGTATCCAAAAATTCTGACACGAAAGGTTGTTTTGTCTGCTGAGTTCATTTCAGTTTTAAAAACTGGTTTCTTCGGTTCATTTCTCAATTTGCTTTTTTTGGTCCAAAAAGTTTTCTTGGTTGAATGATGCTTCTTACTTTTGCACTGTTTTCCTTGATTGATGAGCCCGTATAGCATGGACCCGCAGTGATCGCAGAAAGTGAACTTCTGGTAGCTATGGGTGGCGAACTCGTGCTGCAGACGGCCTCCTTGTTCCTGAAACCCAAAAAGTATATAATTGATCGCATATACTTTTGAAGGCAGGGGCCGATTTAGGGGAGGTGCGGGGGGGGGGGTGATGTTTGGACGCCCCCTCCCCATTCAGGGATTCGACCCCCTGCCGACCCAAAGGGTCCCTCATTTGTACTATTTTGAGATATCCATTTTTAGAGACGGACCCTAAAATTTTTCTAAATGCGCCTTCGGCGACAATATATACTAATTTTGAGGGGGGAGCGCGCGCCGAAAAAATGCGACTTTTTGGTCAAAATTTTCCAAAAAATGCTTAATAACGCCTTTTTTGGTCAATTTTTTCAAAACTTTGCCTGCGGCCAATTAGGAAAATCCCATCGAGAAAATCCTAGATCCGCCCCTGTTTTGAAGAATCCCAGAGCTAAATGTCTTGCTGTCTCTTCTTCATGATTCCATCCAGTTGCTCCATCAATAGATGGTTTAATATATGAAGCACCGCAAAAGTCAGGGTATAAAAATAAAGAGAGATATAAGGTATAACAAGAGTGAATGCTTTTTTATCGTCTGAGGGAAAGACTCACTCACCGAATTATCGCCTTGGATTTTGTCCAGACCAGGGCAGGGGAAACTAACAAGGGCGTGACATCTTCTGTGCACCACAAAGCCACAAACTAGAGGAAAAAAAACAAATATTTCAAAAATAGTTTTTATCATACATCGAACAAGCTTTAAAATTTTAAAAAGTAGAGTTTGGAAAACATACTCGAACATTTCATTCCCTGATTGCCGACTACGCCCCTGAAACATAAGACTATTAATGACCTACTATGTAAACCTACGAGTCTAAAGTGTGATCACATCGGATGGACCATAACCAAAGATAGATTCATATGCACATACAAATGTCTACACATTTATTGTATACGCCTGGCGTATTCACGACTGGTGGACAGATCGATGTCCATAAACAGGCATGTGTCCATATATGGACTTTTTTTCGTCTCACCATATGAAATCTCTGCAATGAGCACAGAAGGTGGGCTGGTGACAGAAATGAGGCAGAAAGTGGTGGTTCTTCACATGCACCGAAGTCTTCTCCCGAAGTGCCTCCCGCTTCCGCCTCCGCTTGATGATGGGTTCAGTGTCCACAATTGTCATCCTGTCCAACTCCCCCTCCCCATCCCCTGAAGTAGACGGTAGTGAGTCTGCTACAGAGCTGTTGTCTAACGAGTCCATTCTGTAAAAAAAAAGAAAACAATTAAAAGGTTTAGGCTAAACTGAAACAAAAAATTAATGAAGATTGGATCAAAGAATTTTGTAAAGATTAATTGCAAGTGCTCTCTTTCTCCTTAAAATAGCGCCAGTTAAGACAAAACGCACTTAACTAGAAATTCAAATTGCATCTTTTTTCAAAGTGGGTTGACTTTAAGTGAAAAACAATGAAGAAAAAACTTGCTTAGGTTTTCAGCAAATAAAATATTTTGCTCGTTGTTTTGCAGTGATTTCAAAACCTAATTTTCAAGAAACAGCTCTTTTTGCTTTCAATCATTTAGCTGTTACGCTTGATTTTCTTACAATGAAAGCGCACTTTGTGAGTCAATAGCTACTTACAGTCTAAACCATGAGCAAGTATGTATTTTTAGATACCCTCTCAAAAAAAAATACAGCACATTGTTGAATTTGAAAACTATTTTTGTGAGAAACTAGCGAACGGTTTCATGTTCAATAAATCCTTTTCCTATGTGATGTTATGCAATGAAAACTAATCTCGCATTACGAGGCTAAAGTGTGCACTGGATAGGCGCAAAATTTGGCGTCTGTAGGTCACTGGAATCCACGCACAAATATTTAAACATGTTCAAACACTAAAAAATACAAAAAAAACTTCCGTGAAATCCGAAAAAATATATATCTGTAACCTAATTTGTTTTGTCGCGGATTTTTCAACGCGCGAATATAGCTAGCGGTTCTAAATTCCGTAACTCTGAGAGGATTGCGCAAAATGTAGATAAAAACTTGACCTAAAAATGATTCTATATATGGTACTGAAATCCGTTTAAAAAAACGCGGATTCCTCAACAGCTAAATTTTGCTGTAAAAGTATTTGTATTTGTTTGTGGATTCCACAAAGTGTTCCAAATTCACCAAGTACTGTTATGGACTCCACAATTTCATCTGTTGTTGGAGCCATTTTGAGCAATACAATGTTTAAGCTCTTTAATTGTGGAATCCAAAACGGCAAATAGGATTGAAGAAAATTAACTATGTTGCAGGTTCTGCGGCAAATCTGATTTTGGTTTATTGTGAAGTCCTCTTTTAATTCACAAATTGCAGAGTTTGGCCTCGCAATGTGCCTCAGCTTCGATCTTCAGCTTTTTGTTAAGCCAGAGATTATTAATTCGTTGCGCTATCTCCGTAAATGTTTAATCCTACCATGAAATCTAAACCAAGTTAGACGCATCAATAAGATGCGTCTAACTTGGTCTGCAAGATCATGTCTGGGCAGCTCTCGGCTTTGCTTCGACGCTGTCGGATTTTACAGCTTTTTGTTTCGATTTTCGTAACGAAAGTAACGGAATAATTGTGCTCGGGGTGGGTTTTTTTGTCAAACTAATTTCGACGTTTTAACTAGCCATTTTTGACGGATTTTTTTAACATCATTTGAAAGCTATTGTTGTTCTAAGCTTAAATTTGAAAAAAAAAACACCTGTGATTAATTTTTGCAAGGTTATGAGGGTTTAAAGATTGCCATTTCGCCAATTTTGGACAATTAACGCGCGACATATTTCGCGCTATTAACGCGTAAGCGGAGATTTAACCTGTAATAGAAATCATACCAATCTAGTTGAAAGAAAGTTATTTGCCTTCAATGATTTGTTACTAGGAGCGAAGTCTATCACTTTTTACTTTATATGGCATGAGGGGGATAATTTTCAAAAAAAATTTCTCATACTTTTTTTCATTTTGTTTCATTACCTTTAATTTTTTCATGTTATTTTTTTGCTTCATAGACCATGAAATGTAGTCGGAACATTCAGGGCTTTGCCCTGATACGAGCAGTCTTGTTTTCAATTCGACTCTAACTTCGACGCAGAAAGCAGGCTGCTAGGCATAAGTCAATGCACAACTGAGATGACAAAAGTTTTGTACTAAATTATTTTTATTGAGGATTTTAAAGGTCTACGGAGCTTTTAATTTTTTTCCGAGCATTGAAAGTAGAAAAAAACTATCTTCGATAGTAGTTGATTTTTTAAAATTTTTTTATAGCTTTTCCACTCAATTTTGAGTACCATAAATAATCATCGGAACCAGCTGAGTAAATTTTTTCATTCAAACCCTTTCAGTCATTCGTAATTTTTTTTTCATATGATTTCGGTGTTGAGAAAAACCGGTTATAAATTTTTGAATTTGGGTGAACTTTTGAGTGAATACAGCATGAAAATTATAGTGAATATGGTTTTCGAAGTTGTTTAATCCTTGCCTGGGAGTAATAAATAAAAAAACATGAAAAGAATTTTCTGCAAAAGATTTCCTAAAGTTTGTTTTTTGCTTTTTTTTCTTCGTTTTTCGAAGGAAAATGTACCGAATCTGTCTAAATTATAGGCTATTGTTTAGAGACTCTCATGTCGCCATGTTTTTGAAAAAAGAAACTGTTTTTTTAAATGATTGTGGCCGGAACTTTCTGTGCTACTTGCACAAGAATCGGCCTTTCTTGTTATTTATTCAATATATTTAATGTCTGTGATTGTTTTGATTTTGATAATAGTCTAAGTTGAGACCAAAGGGAATTAATTTTGATGTATCAATAGACCCCAATCTCGACTGATTGAAAAAGAAAACACGACCATTTTGGCCTAATTCGTCTGCATTATAATCAGTTGGCAGAAAATATTTCAGTCAAGAATCAGGCTAACAACAATCAGTATAACTTTCAAGAAGGCTCACCAAAATACATAAGCAGTTGAAATATTTTCATTTTTTTGTTTAAAAAAATGATAATGTCTTTTTTTTGTAAAAATTCTCAAATTTTACAAAAATATCTTCAGATATATCAATTTATACAAACAAGTAATGATTCCAATCAAGTGCTATGTGTGGCAGCATTAAGAGTGTATTTTTGGGATTGGGGCGGGGTTACCTGTCGCTTCTTGTAGAATCAAGGGAAATTGTGGATCCAGTGGAAGTTTTATGTATGGACTTGATAAATTTCTTCATTCTCTGAAAGATCCAGCGATCAATTTACGATAACATAAAAAACTATTTACATTTCACCACTGATTTATCTATCTCTAACTTCCTGCATAGTTAGAAGATGTGCACGTTATTCTAATGAGAAATCGATATGGATGGTAATGATGTGTCGTCAAAGGCGGATTTAGGGGAAGGGGCAGAACTGACATCCGAATCCTGCTTTTTCAATGTTTTGCCAAACCCAATTTGGGTCAAACAACCCCTAAACGTTTCTGAGGGTGTCTTTTTCGCCAAAATCAATGAATGACAAAATCACGAAAGAAAGTCAAAACTAGTCAGTTGCGCAGAAAACTCTGTCAAAATAGGATCTTATATATCTCTTTTAAAAAAAAGCATCACGAGTCAAATGCGATATAGTTTGGTCTCAGCTAGAAAAGTAGAAAATTTTGGGTAAAAAAGCTCAAACATAATAAATATAGAGCAAAAACAGTTTTTACGAGTTTGAAATATGCTGTTCAAAGTTGTCATGATTTTGCAGATGAGCACAAACTTGTACTTCAATTCAATTTTTGGTCTTCCTTTTTGTTCTTAAAGTATCGGTATCGCAAAACCATTGCGTTTGCCAATTTAATCCAATTTCCCCACAAACTAGATCACAAAATTTGATGAAAGAATGACAGTGTTACTGAATTACCCAAAATTCTATATGCAAAAAAAAAATATTTTCTAACTGAAGTTTCAAATAAAAATTCTTTTGACGATATCAATGCATCTCCCGGAAAATTAAACAGATTTTATCGTAGGACTTAACTATTTAGCGACTGTGATTTTAATTTTTTGTTTGCTGAAATTGTTCAAAAACATGACAGTCTTTCAATCATTTTTGGCTTCTCTGTAGTATTAAGAAATTACACGCACTAAAGTACCTATTTTAGAGCAAAGTTTTATTTTTTTCGGTTCATGCCATTTTCAATATTTTTTAAACAACACGCTAGTTTGAAGCTTTTTAAGATCCGACAAAAAATCGCATGTTTCACTTCTGGTATGTAAAAATTAGAAAATAAAGCACAAAAAGCGCTTGTTCAAGTTTGGAATGTATTGAATTTTCCATTATTGCAAAGGCGAGGAGATTCGCTTCCTGGAATGAAATCTGAATGTGTTTAACCACTAATGTAGTGCCTTATAAAAAGTTTAGTTTTTTAAGTGATATCATAGACGGGAAGGGGGCGGTAGTTGAAAAATCTAAGATGATTACATTCTTTTTCTTTTTTTTTTGACGCAACTTCTGTCTTTTCATGTAATCTTGTCAAACAAACGAAAAAAATTTGCGCAGCTCATGACTTTAATAAATAGCAGCTAAACATTTTCTGCAAAAAAAAATTTTATTGAAGATTTAGTCGTTTGAACTATATTTGGAAAGACGCAATACTGATAACATTCAAAATACTTTGATGAAAAAAACAAGACTGCTTGTATAACCTTAGTCAATCAAGGGAGGCTATCTTGCAAGAACCTGCTATATAACCTCAATGAAAGATAAAATTTTTTAGCAAGATCTTTGGAGATTATTTTATTTGGAAAAAAAACAGCTTTACTCGCAAAGACAACGTATAGCGTTTGTGCACAAAGTGTAGTAATAACATTTAAATAAATGAAGAAACAAACAAAAAAGAAAAAGAGAAAATTTTAACCTTATTATAGATGATAACAATTGTTTACAGTATTTATTTGAGCACATGATACAAATTGTCTCAAGCTAATTGACTCTTTTTACCAAAATTTTGTTATAAATAACGAACCTTTCAATTTACTAAGTTGCAAGAAGTGTAGTTTTTTTCCAAACTAGTATAGTTTTTTATCTGCTTGATGGTATAAATGCTTGGTTGTTACTGTGCAAGTAGCACAGAATGTTCCGACCATAGACTTTAGAAACTTTTTTTTCCATTATAGTGTAGTTTTTTTCTGCTTGGTGGTATAAAAGGATCTGACGTAAAAATATAATTTAGATTTATTAGACAGCCATAGTAATATAGGCAAATTGAAAAA